CCAAGATAACAGGGAGATGAAAACTTATAACAATAATACCAAACCCACCTACAGCCATAAAAGCTCATTCCCACGCTTACCTGTGTTTGCATAAATACCAAACATCGCCAATAAGGATTACAGAGGTTTATGTATGGAGAAGAGAGAGAGATCATGTAATTTATGGAGATAGTCCAGTTATTCATTAGCACTCTATACCATCGTAACGGGATGGGGGAGGAACAAAACTAAAATCAAAAGCATAAAAGCACTTAGGATAGGCAAGAACACAAACAAAGTATTCATAACTACAGAGTTTTTGTTACGAATGCATTACTAAAACACCAGTTCATACTCTTCTTCGCATTAGGGTAGATCTTTTAGAGTTACACTGTGTCGACACCTGGCTAGCATACTGGCTATTAGCTAAGTCTGCAACTTACACACAACACAAGCATCTGTTGACACTTGAATAGTACTTGCTCATATTCTATTAACTTTGTAGCTGTCCTGAAATAAAACACCCAAAGGCAAATATCAAGCAGCAGGTGACAGAGGTACAGCTACTCTGTCTGTGCCCCCCTGGGGGGGTGACCCAGCATCCTTCAACCACCCCACAACACTTCAGTCTGCTTGCTCCCGCACCCCAACCGCTGAGTTTTATTCCAAATTCTATATTAATCAGTCATATCCAACACATCTCAGTATTGCCTCTTTTACAAGTAATTTCCCAATAGTTTACTTTCCATTAAAAACCCTTTTTAAAGATTCAAAGCCTTTCAGCCATTCAGTATGCTCATCTTAAGGAAAAAAAAAAACCAGTCAGATCGACATAAAGGTCCCCAAAAACTTGGGGAGAAATTGCAATGAACAAGTCTGGAGTATGAACTACAGTCATTTGTTCAATTTCTAAAACAAGTTAAAACCAAGTCTCAGATTCAGTAACAACAACAAAAAAAAAAAAAAATCCATGGCTGAAAATAACTCTGACTATAAAAAAAAACAGTACATCTGGAAGAATTGAATTTTGCTGTTAATAACATCTCAAGTACTACCACCCATTCAGTTAAACAAAGGAAAAATGAGAAAATAATTCACTTGGACCTTAAGAAAGGTAAAGTTCACCCCTTCTAGTATTCTTCACAGGAACACAACTATAATCTAACATACTATTGTACCTAAATTGCTTGATATAAAGATATATTAATCCAGTTGGGGGAAATTGTCAAATCCTAACATCTATGCTGATCTCTCAGGATCTTTAAAGGTCAGACATGGTAACTGTGTGTCTAACTATGAAAACGAGGAACAGTTATTTTGAAAAATATTTTTATTCCCAAGATTTACTGGTCTCCAGACATTTTGTGAATTAGAAATGAATGAACTCAGTATGCTGAGAAGCAACATTCAACACAGTGGAACTAAAGATAGACTTCTAAAGAACAGGATTTTCTGTATATTCGGTTGTCAGAACTTAATGAATATGTACACTTTATGAAATGAAATGTCACACAGAGGTATTAGTCATTGTTTTGAGATCTTCATTCTAAAACCTTAGAAGATACAGTCCAACATCAACAACAGACCCATTGAAAGCTGCAGTGCAGCACAAGGAATTAACATAACCTGACCAGATTTCATACTTTAAATGATCTAGATACATGTTTGTATATAGTAGAAAAAAAGCAGGAAGATTGTTTCTCTGCATCAATTGGCAATTTCAGCACAAATTTTCTCTGGTTATTGGAAATGTTGTATAACACATAATCTGTGAATCATCCAAACGCCTATCACTACAATTTTGCTATCACATTTAACATCTATATAATGCCAATTCTGAGACTGAATGGCAAATGATTTGAAATATTTTTTCATAAACTGTTCTAGTGAATTCACAAATGCAGTAAATACCCTCACCCCATCCTGGCATCGATACCCGTCATTTTTACTTTCAGGCTGCATGCTCTATAATGCATGTTTACTTTCAGGCTGCATGCTCTATAATGCAGCAATGGCCAGTCCTCATACCAACACTCCTAAAGTACCAAAAAATGTTTTTTAAACATTTTCCTATCATAACATGCTGCTTCAGCTGACTTACTTTATTACCCTTTATATCCTCTGTTTATTCCCTTCTCAAGATTTTTAAAAATTTTTTTTGTGGCAGAGCTGCTTTGACTTATTTATAACCCCTTACCATTTATACGAATTCATATTCCAATGCAGGGGGAGGATGCTACAAGAGATGATCTCTGGTAACCAAACCATTTCTACTGAATGTAACAAGGGTCATTCTGTAAACCCAGCTGTGGCCTTACAGGTGATGCATCAGTCCTAGTCTGCTTCTTTCACTAACAATTTCAAGCTGTAGTTGTAGTGTAAATCATGTAAGGAAATAGGCCGAGGGCAGCGCTGTCAAGAACAAACTGATACTATAGCCAAAACAAAGTGTCACACAAATGGACGTGTGCCCATCAGGATACAACAGTGGCTTGCTTAGATCCAAAACATCAGTGTATTAAAAAAACATAACAATAGTGTATTATATTTTGCAACACTGATGGCATAGCCAGATACTACTTACAAACACCTTATGTAAGCATGTGAACACGACCACAGAAAGAGGCCAAAAAAAAAAAAAGGAAAAAAAAAAGAGGGGAGAGATGGGTGCAGTTGTATGCAGGAAGCACCTAAGTAACAAAGCATTACCTGATCAGTTAGTCTTCTAATTCCTGGATATGTACGTGTGTGTGCACATGCCTGCACAGGTGTGTACTCATACACATTCAGTTGCAACAATATCCATCATTCAGCACAGAAACAAATTTGACTCCAGCAAGCTAAAGCATTTACCCTGAACCTAAAGCAATCTGGAAGGGTGCAAACACAGAGCTGGAAAACAAAATTTGCTGGTAGCTGCTCTGCATCCTTTGCTGTGACTATTTTTCTATTTTAAAATATCTACATTCAACTTAAGGAAGACTTATGTACTTAATATTAAATAACCGATTTTCAACAAGTAATGACATTGACTCAAGTGACAAGCCTCTACACTGTACTGAGATTTCACCTTCATTAATTTCAGTCACACATGGTTGTGGGGAGGATACAACTTACCACTTCAACAAAGACAGCGAAAGGTTTAAGGACATTTCAGCCCAGGAGCTGGCTTCGCACGAGATCCATTTACCTAATACATATTGTGACTTACAGATGAGGTGTGTCACTTACATTAGCTACAATGTGAATTGAAGTTTCTACTTCTAATCTGACTTCTTTAATGGAGAGTTAATCGTTCATAAGAATTCACAATGAAATAGATAAATCATTGTAGACACATGCAAAGCTTTTAGGAAATTCACACTTTCCCCTACCACACTTAATTTAACCATCTTTCCTGCAGGACTAGTTACATTTCAATAGAAATTTTAACTTTAAGTTTTTAGCAAACAATAAATCAAGCATTAAAAAGGTAAGAAATAAAGTTTATTATGCCATTCAATTAGAGTGCTGCAAGCTTTTTATTTCACTAAGTTTTTCTTAATAGAAGAATACTTAATGCCTTCCCAACAAGGTGATACAGATACAATTCTGCTATCAAAGAGTAAAACCTATCACGGATGTTGTGATCACACACCTTTTAAACACTCTGAAAGAAATAAAATAAACACTTTGGTGTTTTTTTCACTTGATATAAGCACAATTTAAACATGGTACAGCTTTCTACTTAGTATTGCACTGTAGAAGTTACTATTATGGTAGTCAAGCTGCATTACAAAAAAGACAAACAGAAAGCAGAGTCCTGCTCAGCATGTGGACACGATTACTAGGGGAATTTCATTTTGTTGAGACCAGTCATCATTTTTTCTTTTAGTTCCAGCAGACATGATTGCAAGAAAAATCAGGACAGGAGGAAAACAGTCTATTTTAAAAGCAGCTGCAGTACCAACTAACAGACTTCTTCAGTACACAGGCATATCAACAATTGTTTTTTTGGTTCTCGTACCAGTAAAACCTACATACTCTTATCCATCTGACCTTGAGCAACTCAAATAGAAAACAGTTCCCCCAAGGATAACAACAGACAAGTTCCACCAGCATGACCTGGCCTTTGTTCACCATTTCAAGCACCCATATATGATAAACCACAACCAAATGCAGCGCACAACTGTGCCTAGCTTACGAGGTTTTTAAAAAAAAAAAAAAACAACAAAAAAAATTCAGGAAAGTGTAGTAACTTAATATCAGGATTAACAGCCACCTGTACAAAGTGTTGACTCTAATGGGGTAAAGCACTTCTTCACATTACAGTACGCTGCATAAAAGCAATCCTAAGACTACAGACCAACCATTTGAGAATGATATAATTTGACGGGAGAATATTATGAAAAAAAAATTCCTTTTATTTTGAAATTTCTATGATTACATGCAAGCAAGTTCTGCCATTTCACATGCGTCCATAAACTCATGCTATTAAACTTAGAGGGAAACAAGCAACCTTCTAAAAGCTGTATGTGAAACCCAGCTTACAGCAATATTAACATTCTTATGAAGCTTCAGAGAAAGGTTTCAGCTTTACCTAACCACACCAAAAACACTCCAAAGACTGACCGTAACTCTGGGAACATCATACTGACATAAGAAGTCAGATAGTAAAAAAATAAGATGGCGTATTAGCAACAAAGGAGCTAAACTAGTATTGTGTTATGAATAATTGTGGTCTAAATACTTGTTGTGACTAAATGCATATTCACAAGAGCTATCTGTAGTAAACGACCAAAGTCATAAAAATGTATAATTTTCAGGAAAAATGACACCTCTCATTATTTTGGATCACTGTCACCTTTCCACTTGCAATCCCCATTAACAGGTTTTCAGAGATCAGTCCTCAAAGTCGAAGCACCAGGGTCCTCATTGCTGAGCCAGATACAGACACGTCACTCCCCATGGGTGCCTCTACACCCTGCTCAGCTAATGTGGGGTAACCGAAGGGGTGGCACAGAAAATCAAGGTGCACTCACCATTCCGACTTTCTTCATCAATAGGAACTATTGTGGCTGGAGGACCTGTTCTGGCCAATTTGCAATCTATAAAGATGAAAAGAGAAGTTATTTCTAATTCCAGGAGAAGAATCTTGGGGGTTTTGTTGCTGTTTTTAAAAACAATTCCGTGTATTCAGCACACTGAAGACAAGTATTCACTTAAATACGATGTATATATGAGCTATAGCTGTTAGCTAAGTTACACTCACAGAGGATCAAAATCTGAGGTGTTTTCTTATCCCTTACTCAGATAAACTTTATAAAGCAAGGTCATATCTGATGACAAAGGATTTAACATCTCAGATACTGATCCATATTTAAAGCAAACACTTAAAACAGCAAAAACTTAATATGGTTTGTTCTGTTATCTGTTATGCGAGCCTTCCTATCCATGTCATGAACTCATACACCAAATCGTCATCACATCCCACCACAATACAGTTTGATGGCTACACTGTAAACCTGTTTGTGTCTTGCTCTAGAGATACCACCAGGGATCTCAATGAAGCAGAAGTCCTTCAGGACAGAGAAAATACAATGGTAATTTAACCCAAAGAAAAAACAGAGGAATGATTAAAAAGTATAAATTCTAACTAAAGCTTCACAACAGAAACAAACATAACTTGAATTTAATTGCAACAAAAGGATCTAATTAGAGAGAATGAACAGAATTTTAATAATGTTCTAAGGAAAATAAAAATTAAAAACAGACGAGCAATCTTCAGGAAGTTACATTTTGCCATCTTACCCTCATATTGCCAGTCTGGAGTCAAAAGTTTAGAGGCATCAATGGAAGCAGAGCAGAATAATGAAAGAAAATAAGTAAGATTTTGTTGGTTTACTCAAAAGATAGGTTCAAAGACATAAAGCAGTACATGCGGAGCTAGCAAATGCATAGATGCAATCTTAAAATATATAAAAGCATGTATACTACACGTGATGACTGTAGTGTCTGAACAATTTGGTTTTCTACATTAAATAGGAGAAAAATATTACCTCTTTAAAACACACAGAAAGAAAAGATAATTAAGAAACACTTTTCATTTTCAAAAGAGCCTCACAGTACCACTGAAACAGTGTGATAAGAGACAACCATTCTTCTTCCCATTTCACTATGGAGAACTGTATATAAGATTGCATTTTAAAGACATTTAGATGCTCCTCTAACCCTCCTGACACAGCTCCAGCCATGTGGATGGCTACATCCCATTTGTAAGAAATGACAGCTTTTCATTGTTGTCTAGCCAAGGAAAGAAATGCTGGAGTAGCACTGTTTTGTTGGGGGGGGGGGGGGGTTACACAAAAATCCTAACAGAAAATCATCTGTAAATGAAACACAAGAGCAAGCAGAGGTAAAATGCTATTTCCCAGCTATGGTAAAAATTACACATTCATTGACTTCAAAAGAATTGTTCTGCAGCTATTTGCAGACTATAATTACCTCAGTACAGACAAGACCTATGAAAGAAGATCAAAACAGCAAAGCATTTATTCAGATCCCAGCTTAGGTGAAGCCTCTAAAGGACTTCCCGTGGCACACTAATTTGCTCTAGCAACAGCTTTGCTATTCAGCTGATGAGTTCAACCGCAAGACCAAACTCCTAAATACCATGGATAAGGATTGACAAGCACGGCATTCCATAAGGCTGTTAATAGTTATAAACAGCCTGAATGACACCTAAATTAATACTCAAGATAACACTCACACTGTAATTACTCTTTTTTTTTTTTTTTTTTAATAAAGAAAAAAAGGCAAACCTTTCCTTGACTGTAATTACTCTTTTTTTTTTTTTTTTAATAAAGATAAATATGCAAACCTTGCCTTGAAGATAAAATACAAAGAGCTTGTGTGAGTACCTGCTCACTCTCCTTCCTCATATCAGTGATACTGCTTGTGGAGTTTCATGTCCCACTTGTTTCGCTATCCTAAGCAGTCTAAATAAAATTATTTAATGAACAATTTCTCAGTACTTACTCCTTTTATTCTTATATGCTTTAGTTTGATAGATAAAAACTGAATATTTTCTGTTGTAATTTTAAAGCTTTTTGTTTTGAAGGCATTAACAGAGCAAACAGACTATCTGAAAAACTACGTCTTTCACTTCATTCTAGTTGCAAATCTGCATGAAATAACGATTTTTATTTTTCCCCTTTCTTATTTTTTTCACTGGATGCGATAAAAATAACAGGACTATAACAGACAGAACTCTAACCTTTTCCAGGGACATGTAATAATTTTCTAGAAGTTCAGGATTTGGCTAACTGAACGACCCTCAACAAACCTCTTTGCGAGGACAACGAAGCTCACCAGTGCAAACTTTTACTAAGACTTTATTTTCATGAATAGTCCTGCTATTAACCATTGAACAGCGATCGCCGCACACACAACCAAAAAAAAAATCCAATGCAGGAAAAATTGTTAATTATAAAAATTGCCTTACCAAAAGGACAATCACAATTTTCCTGAAAAATGAGCTTTTCCCCTATCATCTATGTTTCCATTATAATGTTTTATCCTTTCTGTGTGTCTCAGTGAAAAGTTCAGTTTTATCAGACCCATATCTACTTCTATTCCTCAATAAACAAATTATCAAAATTATAAGTCAGTCACGTTAGCAGCCTTTTCACAGGATTGGTTTTCCATCAAATACATGAGAACTTCTAGAATTATAATCAAAGCAGTTATACGGTATATTTGAAATGAACACTCAGCATTGAAACCTGTATGCAGAGAGTCTCGGAGAAAAGGCAGACCATACAGCTAAGTTCAGCAATTTGCAGAGGATTTATTGAAAGTGTGAGCAGTAGTAGCAATCAAATTTAAACTTCAATGAAAAGAAGAGATTGCAGCAATAGCCAAAACTACTTCTACAGATAGGGGAGGAGAGAAAAAAAAATTAACAGGATGTAAAGTATAAGTCTTGGTATAGATTATCCTCATGGCACCAATAAAAAAATTTCTTCAGAAATGCATACTTTTACTTCATATAATTTCAACCAAGTCAGTAGTAGCCAAGTATCAGATTGCTTTTTAAGATGCCTGTCACCCTTCTCTCCCCTTCTCAAAGACTGAACCTAATAATGCCACAGCCTTAGTTTCACATTCATCACCGTAGACTCAACAGATAAATTTAAAGTTATAGTCTTACACAAATTTCCAATTCAAATGCAAACAATAATTTTAAAACCTTAAAGACAAGTCGTATGTTGTAAATACATAGGTTGTACCTTTTTTTTCTTGCAAAATACAATCAATAAGCAGCAGCAATAAGACCAAGCACTGCATTGTATCACCAGGCACCAGCCTGACAATTTTGGTGGGAAATACTGGATACATGAAAAAGAACATCTTTAGATCAAGCCAGATACACAGAAAGGTTATTCTCATCATGAGGAGGATGGAGAGGCCACACAGGCTTGAATTACTTAGTCTAGGAAAATTAAAGCTCTCTAAAAATACACTTGGGTAGAAGGAAATATGAGTTATTTAAACTAAAGTGCAATACCAGCACAAAGGCCACTATGAGTGCAAAGGAGAAATGGCTGCATGCTGCCCACAAATTTAAGAAATACGTTTCCAGCCCAAACTTCTTTTTTTTTTTGATTCGTAGAGAAGGTAGATCCCAGAACACTCTTCCACAGCAGGAACAGCAGAGAAATTCAAATTCAGCATTTCTGAAACACACCTTTATTTGCTTATGAAAAGGATTACATGAAATGCTCCTGAACAATGAGACAGCGCTCAGTTGTTCTGAAGTTTTATTTAAACGTTCCTCAACAGGTATTATTTCAGCAGTAACAGATTGCTTTATTCAACATAAACAAGCATAGATAACTGCAGCACCAAAGATTACTTACGAAGGAAATATTTACACAAGATTTTACTTTCCTTTTCTTTTGTTTTAAAGTCCCCATTTCTGATTGTGAGTCTCAGTGTAAACCTACTGGATATTTTAACTATTCCAATTTCACACTGCAGATTATTACCGGAATACTGACATGCACCTAACTAAATATTCAAATTTTTAGCAAAACTACTGCAATTGCTAAGACAGGATGGCTTTTCTCCATCACACAGTTTCTTTGAAAAGAAGCCCAGTGCCCCATCAAACAGCAGCCAGTGTGTAGTATCAGGGAACACCACACAAACAGACGCTGACTGACCTGTCTTACCGGTGGAAGGAACCTCCGCCCTGCTGGAAGCACAGGGAGAAGTGACATGCTGAACCATGGTCTCTTTTTTCTACATCTGTTCTAACCTTCTCAACGAAAAGCAAGTTGTCCTTGAAATTCCTGGGCATAATGGAGTAGTCATGGAAGTCAAATCACACTAAACTGAACACATTTTAAGAAAGGCAGAAAAGGCACTACATAAATGAGCTTTCCTATCTACAGTTTTCATGATGCATTTTATCTTTAAGCAGCACTGGTAAATGTGCAGCTGTGCCCTCTCTCCTGTCCCAAGCACCTTACAGAACAGGCAAATAAAACTTAGTAAATAAAACAACAAGCTATAAAGGCTTCCCTAAAAGCTTGCAAGAAAAGCATTTTTGTTCCTATCATTAACTTCACTGTTCCATCTGACTAGTGTGTTTCCTTTACAACTACAGGATCAAGGCAAAGACAGATAAATAAAGGGCCCGTCTGCTCAGGAGCAAAGTGAAAATCTATCTAACAAACTCTTCAAGGAACAGTTACATGGCTCAGATCCATTTGTTTTCTGGTGGCTAGTTTTCATTATTTTAATTTCTAATTATTTTTAATGAGATGGCTCAGAGGAAAGCCTCAATCATAGTTCTAGGTAAGATGCTCATAAAGGTCAAACAGCCTGAGTGGAAACAAACATAACTTAAATAATGCTGTACTCTGCCAATGGACAGCTGTCTGACCACCTTCCTTTCACCCCGCCTTTGTCCTCTCAAAGCCACTGTCCATCCAACAGTTACATTACTTAGAGGACTTCAACTTCACTGCTAACGTAAACAGAAACACCTATCAAAATAAAAACAAATGTTCTTGAATAAGCTAATGAGAAACTTAAAGTA